AAAGTGTGCAGTGGATCTGACAACTGCTTTTAAAGTTCTATGAATAATCTATAACTTGTCTGGAAAAGTGAATGAAGATCTATTATTATATTTAGTTTGAAAGATTTTGTTACAACTACTGTATCTAAGAATGAATATGAGTGCAAGGCTAGCTTTTAAAAAACAGTTATACATTTTGTTTATAATTATAGGGAGCTCATACCACAGCATGATCAACATGATGATCAAAGCATGAGAAGATAGCCTCTAAGGTTTGATTGTATCACATCTCTACACATTGTCACAAGCAACAAGGTCCTGGGCTCATGGCTTTTCTGCACACAATGATGCAGATCTTCTAATTGGACACATTCATACTATTAAAAGTTGACTTAAACCCTTATTGCTTATTTCTCTTTGTCTGTTTCCTTGGGTCCACCAGGGAACTTGTCCCATCATAGGTGTTTTTGTAGAGTTACATATCTCTTATCCACTGACACAATCTTCAAATATGGTTGGCAATGCAATGGCTGTCCCACATTTATTAGGTGTTGGTGGAGTGAGCTGAAAAAAGAGACAACTGCTAAGAGCATGATTTAATATTCAAAACTGAATAAATAATAACCTCATACTATTTGCACCAGTATTGTGGCTTACGAAATTCTGGGCCTGATGATCGTACCAACAGTAGGCTGATTAATACACCATGGAGCTGGTGCATGGATGGAATTAATTTCCCTCATGGCTGGATAAAACTAGAGGAACTGAGGTAATACTGTTTCAGTTTTGGTTTGGAGAGGTGGAAACGTTTTCTGGGAAGGGAGCATCTTTTAAGGTTTGAGTTTGAATAGATACCTGTAATATTACTGAAGACTGCACATGCATTCAGAACACTGCTCTCAGATGCATGACTTCTTCAGCTTGACTGAAAAACATAACACAGGCTACAGAAACCTAATGGGTTCTTCTGACAATTTTTAGTTCCGCATTTACTACAAATAAAGGCAAATTTGTTTATTCAATATTATAGTTACATTTGTCTAACTGGAATTGTTACACAGATATCTGGCTCATTTATCCTGCATACATACCTACTAACATACTAGTCTATGCAGGACTGAAATCATATAGGACTGTCATTTTGAAGACTAGGTCCATATGAATAACTAAGAACTAAGTGATGAAACACTTATTCTCAACACTGCCTGCTCAGAAGAGAGTCCAAGACCAGCAACAGTTGCTTTCTCTTATAGATTGTTTCACTCAGATTCAGATTTCAGTCTTTTTCCCTTCTCCTCTCACACTCATTCACCTTGATTAAGCACTACCTAATCCAAGCAAGAAGAGAGACAGCCCTTCCCATCCCTAAACCACTGGTCATGGCTTCCGCTTTGGAGACGCCCTCAGTCCTTCAGCCAGCTGGAAGAGTTTCATGCGTCCAGACAGAAGCGAGGACCTACTCCCAAACTTGCCTTACTCCTTAATGAATTGTTAATTGAGTAGAAGGTACAAGAACCTTTCCTACTGGCAAGGAAAATGCTCAATATTGGTGTGAAACTTTTTTATAATTAGTCCTTGTTTTTTTACCTAAATATATTACTTGGTCATGCTTTGTAGAAACAAGATTGATGCAAATAGCTCAATATTCTCTGGGCTGAGACAAGACATGCAGACTGCCAGTCTACCTTCCTTTATCTTCCCACTATGCCAAAGGATACCCTATGTCATTAGGCCCATCAAACTTTCCAGCTTTATCTGTGAAAGATTCCGTGATACCAAAGCAACCAAAAGCATACTGCACAATTTTCTTTACTGGTCATTATTATCAATGGACCTCAGCTTTTAAAGCAAGAAAGGAGCTACTGTGATAAATAAACTTACATGTTTGTCAGCTAAGGACAGTCCACCCAAATATGCTACAAATGATGGAAATCTACTTGACTAGACAGGAGATTAAAAAACCTGAAACTATCCTATAAGGAAATCTGAAAGTAATGCTTCATTTGGGGCTGCTCTCATCAGCAGCTGGACTTCAGGACAGTCTTTATTCATTCATATATGCCCAATTTTCATGCCCACAAACCCTGATGGGCTGAGGTGCTAGTAGGTACACACTGAAGCACAGAAGCCTACAAATCTGCACTGTAACGAAATGTGTAGGTTTTAAATATAGTTATGATGTTATAGAAACCCCAGATTTCAGGACTTCAGTCCTCAGCTGAGAAGTGCCATTTGGCCAACTGAATCAGCCAAGATGAGGGATATGTTCAAATTTATTCTCTGTGTTAGATGTATATTTATTTATTTGTGTATATGAACTCCAATATCTGCCTTTATGTTTCTTGTACCTTTTTTTTTTTTTAAAGATATCTTTTTTGCATTTGTCCTATACTGGTTTGAATTAAGAGTGGTTTAAATTAAATAAAGTGCTTTCCACTTAGAGACATGGCTATCTCTAACACAGCAACGCTGGACCAGTCATACAGAGCTCACCTCCCTCCCATACCTGTCCAAGCCTACAGAACCCTGACTGTACCTGTAACTACCTACAAAACTGTATTCTAGTAAATCCTAGTTAAAAAGTGTCTGCACTTTTGAATGCTTGCTTGGCATAAACAGAATTCTGATATATTTTGTGATGCTTTTTTTATTATAGTGTTTTATTTCCAAAAAAAGTTAAATCTCTGTAATAGCAAAAGACCCAGAAGAGTCTCAGTATATTTCTTAAAAAAGCTTTAAAATCTTTCAAAGAAGAAGGACGATAGAGTAGGGAAAGAAGGAAACAAGGACACAGTAAAACAATAAAAAGTTGTCTTAATGTCAAACCAACATGTACTTCTAAGCTTTAGCTACACTGTCATACCTTATTCTATGAGTACTAGTGGAAATGCAGATGGGTGATTACCCAAGGGCACTACAATTTTTCAGAATTAGCTGTTCCATTTATTTAATATTTTGGAAATAATCCATGAAGTTTGCAAAATTTCACAGTTTATTGCTACCAAGGTCACAGTAACATGGGCTTTCTTTTGCAATCCATGAAGAAAATCAGAAAGACAAAATATATATCATACAGGGAGTATTGCAACATTAAGCCAATACAACCATGGAGATAGCACTCAGTGCTGGTCATTATAGCTTTATGGCAATGAGGTTTTAGGTTAGTATTCCAAATCATGCTTGTATACTGAAGGACGTGAAAGTCATACTGTTTCCAGTGAAACAACATAGTACACACAGACTTGGCAGATGCCTGATTTCTACAGTTTTTGACAGTCTCCCAAATTTAGGACTAGAAATGTCAGACTGACCCTGCATTTGGCAAGAATAATAGAAGTTCTGGTTTTATCAAACTGTACTTGAAGTAAGATCACATTTCCCTTAAAAAAAATCTCCAATTTTGTAATATTAATATAATATTTGCATTTGTAAACCAATAGAAAATTAACTGTCCTTAATTAAATTTACTGTGTTGTACTTCGAGATTTGGAGTCAGTGAGGTTTTGGGAGTCATACATCACAAAAATGAAATTAAATTGGTGGTGCTTGCATATGGCAATATTTTTCATCTGCCAGAATACCACAGATTAAATGAGAAAAAATGAGAGCTTTGAGAAAGTAATAAAGTTCTGTGTTCATTTGTTTTGTCCTGTATCACTTCTATCACCGATGCTAAAAACAGAGCTGTAAACTCTGCTGCTATTATCAGAAAAAAATATCAATGGCTTAATGCCATCATGAACCTGGCAGTATATGAGATAAGACTAAATTTTTTAAAGTTTAAAGCAATGAAGGGCTTAATTGATCCTCCAAAAATCCACATTCTTCTTTTCTCTCATCTTCTGACTTCATGTCTGAGTCAGACACAGAGAGGGTGGAGTGTACTAATTCTACCCAGGCCATTTGACCAGGCAAGAAGCCCAAGAAAAATGATTTTTCCATACACTAATATTAATAAATAGTGGAATCTCAAAGTTCTTTTGCAAGAGTCCAACTTGTATTTTGAACTTCACACTATAAATTCATCTCAATTTGCTGCTTTTAAATAGCTGTTTCTCAAGACCCTCGTAGTATGGCTTTGTCTTTTAAACTGTATTGATTTTGTTTTTTATACCTCTCAGTGTTATCATTTTCTTTCCTGTATTCTTTATGTATATTCTTTGATTCACAGTATAGGTGTATCAAAATTATACATACAGTTTCTCTATGGAGATCACGCAGACTTTTTGCAATGAACTCAACGGAAACGCATGTGTTTGGTTTAATATTGAGACAGGTCTATCTTGCTAAGGTTCTTGAGGGGTTGTTCCTCTCCACATCCTACATATTACAGTCTCAATCTCAGTGTACTACACAGGGAATGAACAGCACACATATTTCTTTTGCATTCACAAATCAACTCCATCTAGCTACAATATTTCATAGCAAAATAGTTCTGATTGTTTCTTTAATTGAATCAGTTGATCTTTAATCTTTTTTTCTTTTTAACCTGCATTTAACTGCCTCTGTTCCCCTGCACCCTGGCAAAATAGCTTATTCTTCAAATTCCTACCTCTGTTTCCAGAAATCAACTTTAAAATGACTTCCAAAATCTCAGATATGCCAAGTAAGGACTATGAGCAAACAACTGATGGTCTAATGCACAAACACCAGAGCAAGAAGACTCTGGTGAATGCTGGGCCCTTTCTAGAATGCAGCTTTACTCAAAATAATCAACAGCCCCTCTAGCTCATATTTATCTGAATTTAGATTTAGGTGTAACAGAAATACAATGCTTGTATACATCTTACCAAGAGCTCAGGGAGACACCTACCGAAAGACTGCAAAATTGTGAAAGGTATGAATTTGCAATGGATGCTTATGTTCTGTGCTGTGAATGAAGCATCCTATCAGTCCTACCAGTCCTTTCCAACATTAACATGATCCAAGGTATTGTTCCAGAAATTACTGCACATTCTTTTAAATTTCAAATTAAAAAAAAAAAAAAAAAAAGGAGAAGAAAGTAAAGTAGCATTTCTTACTTTCGACGGAACATTTCTGCAAATATGCAACCAACACTCCAAAGATCAACTGGTGTTGCATAGCTGGACTGAAGCAAAACTTCAGGAGCTCTATACCACAAAGTAACAACCTGAAAAACAAAAAGAAAGGTAAGTTACAGCAAGTTTAGCTGTAGAACTAAAACCTCAGAAGTGTTACTGAGGTTTTAGTGATCCAATTTAGCTTCATTCAAAATGCAAAGCCTCACAGATTCAGGCAAATTTATTTGACCAAGGTCTTGCATGGAGAATCTACATATGGGTAAGCTGCAATAACAATGAATCAGATAGTACCATTTCTCCAGAACAGAGCAGTTCAACAGTGCAACAAAAATGTAGTATCACAGCTAAGCATCGGCATGATACTACAATATCCCAGTACATTGTCAAAACAGCTCTTTGAACTTTATGCAACTTACAGACCCCAAATATTTTCCAGTGGATGTTCAGATTCTCTGCAGAGCAAACATTAGACTATTGATCAAGGGCTGCTTTTCTTAAACACTTTATTAGACTTCCTGGGTGTCATCACCCAAGTGCCAAACTGGAAGCCAGGAAGTTAAAGAATCCTGTAGGTTTACCTATGAGATAAATCAGAACCTGTAGCCCATGTTTATCCTAAGCTCTTCATAGTTCAGCTAGTATTTTTTTTTTTTTTTTTTGTAAAAGGTATGGTGTTAACGGAGCTGGACTGGCCAACTTGGGTAAATGTGCCCTACCAGTCTCAAAAGTTCTTTCTTCATGTTGAACTGAAGATATTTATTATTTTATCAGATGGATACTTTTTAAGTTAAAACTTCCCCAAAGCTGTCCATTACAAAAGGCATTCAGTGCTGTCTACTGTGGTGTCCTTGGACGCCAAGATCTTTACATTGTCTTTGTTTTCACCCAAGCAGTATAGCACTGGGATCCTTGGCAGGTTCCTGACCTTCAGCTCTGTAACTGTCTCTGTTCATGTGCTATGGGTAACAGCAGCACTAATTTCTCCCACAGTTTATTTCCAAATGATATAGTCTTTTCCAGGGACATATGCCACGTAAAGTGCCTGCTTTCAGGCAGCCGTTCACGTTGCAATGTGTTGTAGAGACACAGCTGGACTTTCACTGGCATGGCTCCACTGATGGACTTTGATGAGTCCTGCACACTGGACCCAGAACAGAGATGGGACAGTTTATATTTACTCCTTTGTTTCTCACAAATCAACCAAATACAGATGAGGCTGACTGTATCTTCAGTATATTTACAGAAGAACACAGAGAGCTTCCTTAGAGTCTTGAGTGAGTTATTATGTAGCTAAAATATAATCTCAGAGCCACAGGAGTATACAACACAGGATTGTCAGCTAAATGGCAATATATTCTCAGCGTGTGATATAATTTAAATTTCTGTCAATATTAATTTACAGGCAGGAAGGGTATCAAAAATTAGTAGTTTCTTTCTCCAACTAACACAAAAGTGAGTACTGGGAAATGCAGTGTTAGGGATAAGCATAACAAAGCAAAAAAAAAAAAAAGAAAAGAAAAAGAAAAAGAACGAAGTGCACGGATAGCACAAAAATAACTTAAAAATTATGTTGACTAGAATGAATTTCAAAACTGGTACAAAGATATGTATAACAAGAGTGTTATTTTTTTTTTCAAATGATAACCATATAATTGTCTCCTAAGCATAAATAACAATGGAAGCAATCAGTTGAATTTGCCGGTCAAAGCCAGCAGAAACAAAAGCAAATACAGCATTCATTACGATCATTACATGCCCCGACAGCCTTTGGAACTACTGAAAGGCTACTGAAGGGAGGTTCACGGATATTTGCACAAGTGGTCATATTTGCTAACAGTCCTCTTAAACGCTTTGATCTCTATTCATAAAATTTGTCTTTGAAACAGTTCAATAACACGGTGCAAAGTACCGCACCGGCAATCTCAATTCCAGCTACCTGTCCTCATAAACAGATTCCTGTATGGAAGCCGAGCACTGTTTAACTCTGTTTGCCTTGTTCCTGATTGGGCACCACACAGATGATGTTTTTCCAAAATGTTTCCCCGCCGATGAAAAAAGGTAAGCTTTCTCCAGAGATTCGCAACCCTGACAGAAGACATATGCAGCACAAGGTCAGGGAATTTTTACTGGAGCTGCCCTAGCTGTACCAGTGACAATTATTTCTACAATACGTGCAGGGTTTTGGTGATGCAGAATCTCTCTTGAGCTCTGATCTGCACTTTCACTTTCTCAGGAAACTTGTGGAAAATCTTTCTGAAGAAACATTGGTTTGAGAAATCAGATATAACAAGTTGAACTTGTTATAACGTGCCAGGTGGAAATACCACCGCAACCCACCATTCCTGGTTTGAGACCCTCACAGCTCTTCTCGTACGAAACGAAAAGATGCTTTATTTCCTCCAGTTCCACATTAAGGACTGTGGGGATGTACGTGAGACAGCTCGGTGAGCCCTTCTGACAACGTACGCCCCGCCCTAAGTGCCATTTCCTGGGAAACGCAGCACAGAGGCTGCACCGCCCCGGAGAGGCGCCTCGCAGCTCGGCATGCCCCGCACTGCCTGGGGAGCACTGCTGCTTCCAGAAGGCCGCAGGCACGCAGCACGCCGGCTGCCCCTCGCACGTGGCCGCTTGCTGGCACAGCTCCCCAGCGGGCACCCTGCTGCCCTCAGTGCACGTGTTTGCAGGGGAGCGGGAGATTTTGTTTCTGAGTAATTTGGAAACTTAAACCTTAAGAAAGTTATTTCTAAAGTCTCGTAGATCAATTCCAGCAACTGCCTGATGGCTTTGTAGTCAGAGAGGAAGTGATCTGGGAAGTGCTGTTCTGATATGCTCTGCCATTATGGCAATTATAAAAGTCATCAAGTAATAACACTTACGGTTCGTAATGTGCAAGTCTGCATTTCAAAACCTGAACATGAAAAGGCTCAACGTTTACTAAATGCCAGTTTGCACACAAGTAATGCCACATATGGCTTCTGCGTTGCTCAGGGCCTTCTGCAAAGCATGGGGTGTGCAGATGATGCAGTGCTTCTGACACAGAGTTTCACACTCCCTTTTGCTTACCATAGAAACCAAGAAAATATTTGTGGACATTCCTTTAACATTTGCAGATAAGTAGAAACGAAAATTATTCTGAACACAGGATATGGTGGCTGAACAACTAGATCATCGCTTCCTCTTTAGTATGGTTCTGACTTAGAATGAAAAAATGCTCTGCTTAGGTAAGCCACATCACCGGTAAGACGTGCTCTCCATGCATGACAGCAAGCACTTCGGTGCTGCTTCCTGACTCAGCCCCCTTTTTAGGACCAAAATCTCAAACTTCTGCACTGTTACACTTTGCTTAAATTCTGCCGGCCCTGAAAATTTGCCACTTGTAATGTGGCAGTTGGTGACCACTCTGCAGGAAAAGCCTTTAGCTTTTCTACTTGCTCTGCCAGTCCCCAGCATACCACAACTTTTGTATTTTCTACAGATTAGTCTACATACAAGAAAACTGGGAATAATTTGCACACTGGGACCTAAGGGAGAAACTATACTCCATTTCCAGTGTACATTTTGTGACTCTACTATCCGGATGGGATGATAACAGTTAAAGAACAGTATCAGTAGCTAGTGCTACTTCTTATAATTTAAATATCAATAGATTTAGGCAGCATGCCAGAATGAAAATAAATGAAATATATATCTAAGAGGCATGAGAAAGGTAAGAACATCTGCAAAATTGTACCAGTGCTGTGTTGGACTTGCTGAAGATGACAATGTGCTCTGTAAGAAATAAAGGGAAAGCTGTATTTACAGTCTGAAGAAGGATAATTTTTCTCTGAAATAAAGCTGTCTGCCTTATTATACCTGACAGACATTGCTATCTGGGACCACCTAGCCCCAGGAGGTTCACTCCTGCACTTCACGATACCTATTTCTGATGTAAAATCAAATTATGGTACATATCTGTTCAGCAGCATTGCAAACACAAGATCTAGGCATCGTGTCTGTCTCAGTTAATTTCCATTTACTTTACAGAGCAGATTTTCACTTCTGGATATCTGCTTAATTTAAAGGGATCTGTGCAATGCACAGCCCTTTCCAAATATAGTTCTGTCTGAACAGCATACAGTTCAAAAAAGACAAATAGAGGTTTAGGGATGGGGTTGAGCAACAGAAACACAAAAGACTACATTTCGGTTTGCCACAGACTTTAAGTACAGACCAATGCCCAGTTGCACAGCTACAGGAACAAAGCAGGGATCAGACTGTAACACAGTGGCTATGTCTGTGCTGGGAAATTAAATGGGACAGGAAACGTTCCTTTGGCACGGAGACCAACAGGCACAGAGTGGCCTATGTCCATGTTACTAAATTCTCAAGCCTCCAAAAAAAGGTGACCGCATGCAAACTGCTTATTGGGAATGGTCTTTGGTCCATGCTTAACTGTGCCTAGGAACTGTCTGAGGGAAGGCTAGTTGGCATAACTCAAAACCGTGCCAGGAACCACTCTAATAATTTAACAGTATAGACAATTGAGCTCCAGTACCCACGAATGCTTCCTGGCACTCTTTAATCCACCAGCCAGTGAGTCAGACTGTGGCCCCGCGTCTTCCTTTCACTTCAGAGAGAAGGCATTTTGCTATGCTTCTCTCATCCCCATAGAACCAGGGGCTCCAAGAGGGTGGCGGGTGTGGAACCAGAGCCCACTCCTCATCCCATCCCATTCTGCTCCCAAGGGGTAATGGTGAGCCTTGCAGGAATGCTGATTTCCCCTCCCTTCTCTTTTACTGAGCAGAAGGAAACCAGGCTGGAAGCAGTCAGAACTGTGATGTGATTTGAAATGTTGTGAAAGTTTGTGCCTAGAAACCAATGAAATAAATTGGACAACATGAAAAGAGAGAACTGTTTCTTCTGCTTTTGTATCCTATATCCATAAATTTTAGCTCAGAGATGTAAAGGTTTATTCAGATATTTTCTGCTTTTTCCACTACTTAAGATGTCTCTGGTATAGAGTCCTCATAAAGAGAAACTGGAATGAATGAGCACCTGAAGAAGGATCCATCTCACATAGCATTACATACCTACATCCGAGCCACTCAGA